TCACAAATGCTGCCAGACCTGCTGAGCTTTTCCAATTGGAAAAGCTGGAAAAGGACCCGAAATGTTAACTCTGATTTCTTTTCGCAAATGTTGCCAGACCTGCTGAGCTTTTCCAGCGACTTCTGTTTTTGAACATAAATACTAGTCTCGCAGGTTAGGTGGATAGGCCGTGCTAAATTGCCCATAGTATCCAAGGATGTGCAAGCTCGGTGGATTAGCCACAGGGAATACAGGATTACAGGGATGGGGTAGGGAGTTTGGATCTGGGTGGGATGCTCTTTGGAGGGTTGGTGTGGACTCGATGGGCTGAATGGTCTGCTTCCACGCTGTCGGGATTCTATGATTCTTTCTAAAACAAAAGCTCCCTCTTCAGAGAGCATGGTTCAGTAGGTATCAGTAGCTGCAGTAACACAGTGTGTTTTCTGCAGGCCTTCATTGGTAACCTATGACTTACCTATTTAAGTCTTAGCTTACCTATGACTCTGTCAGTTCAAATCCGGTTTTGTAAATAACTATGCTCACCTGAACGTTTGCTGTACTGTGCTTTCCCACCTGGTACCATATATGTTCCAGAAAGAGAGGGAATGTGAATCCTTATTTAACTCTTTTTTCCCCAGTACAACAGCATGAATTCGAGTCCCCCAGTCTGAATGGCTAACTCAGTATAAACCAGGGATCAAATTTCAACCCCTTACATTGCAGGATGCTTCAGATGATGACTTGAAGCAGGAATATCATTTTTATTTCCTTCTCGATATTAAGGTCGGCAATAGTTTTGTCTGCACATGCAAGCATTAGCATCAAGGACTGTAGCGTTCCACCTCCGAACAAACACACTGGGGAGAAAAGGTATTTCTAATGCGACTAAAGCCCAGTCACAGAGGAGATATTTTGACAGATCAGATTGTTCAACCTCCCATGTAGAGGGCTGGGGGTTGCTTGAATTCTGCCACCTTGTAGTTGTGCTGTGTGAATATTAGCTGCCACAAGTAAAACACATTTGTATGCAGTTCCGTAGCTTGTTTTAACAGAAGCTTCAGCCTCTGGAAGAATAGCAGGATTGCCTGGGATCACCTTAAGCATTAATAAGCTCACAGAGTAATTTCTAAGCATGAATGTTTTAAAGCAAGAGCAGATTTAAAATCAGCAAAGTAGGGGGTCAGGAAACAGCTTGCAGAGTGCACTCAGTGAGCGATGAATTTGGTTGAAAGCTTGGTTGGCAAATTCCTTTAAAACGTGTGTCCCAGTACAATAGCCCCTGCTTTAATTGGATATAAACTAGCAATATGTTCAATTTGCCCTTTACTCCAAAAAAAACCTTTTCAGAACATCTATGCACCACCAGACCCTCTTAGATTCATGGAATGTTACAGCACAGAACAAGGCTATTAGGCCCATCTATCTGTGCTAGCTCTTTGAAAGACCTGTCTAATTAGCCTCCTTCTCCCATAACGCAGCAGATTTTATCTTTTGAAATATGCATCTAATTCCCTTTGCTAATTACTAATGAATCTGCTTCCAGTGCCCTTTCAAACAGTGCATTCCAAAGCATTAACAAGTCATTGCGTAAAAGAAGTTCATCCTCTGATTCTTTTTGCCAGTTATCTTTAAATCTGTGTCCTCTGGTTACAAACTCTCTCCCCACCAGAAATATTTCTCTTTATTTGCTCCAATTTGAAAAACTCTATTGAATCTTCTGGTCCTGGAACAGTTGCAGCTTCTCTCATCTCTCCACGTAATTAGAGCTCCTCATCCCTCTTATAATTCTGGTGAGTCTTCTCTCCGTCCTCTCTCCTAGACTACTTCAATATTTGTTAGCAACTTTCAAAACAAAACCCCACCCATGCTGCCCATTATGTAAACATTTACAGAAACGATTTTCTGCACATTGATCATGCCGATTTGCAGTGTAACAAATGGTTGTACGCCCAAAACCGCAGAACATTTCTGGAACAACTTCTTGTTAAAGTGAGTATATTTTTAGCCTCCATTAATGATTCAGTGGGCAGACCAAGAAAAATGCAAGACCACAGGAGGCCCCAAAGCATTTCTAGCCTATGATGTAGTTTTTGAAGTGTCGCTACTGTGGTAATGGTGGAAACACAACATGCTATTTGTACACAGCAAGATCCCATAAACAGAAAATGTAACTATGACCTGATAATTTTGTTTTTTATTATGAAGAATGCAGTGGGCTCTATTATGTGCACCTCAGAGAGCAAACAATCCTTGCTAAAAAAATCTTAAATTCAGATTTCTTAAAATTTATGAAGGGATACTTGTAGTTGCATTAAATAATGTTCTAAAAGTAGATAAGGCATCATAAAGAGATCGGTAAATCCTTCATGCGAGCAGAAAATTCTTCTCTCATTAGGGTATATATTTAAAGTGGGAGGAGAAAGATTTAAAGATTTAAAAGGGAACTGAGGGGCAATTATTTTACACAGAGAGTTGTTCATGTGTGGAATGAACTTCCAGAGGAAGTGGTAGATGCATGTACAACTACAATGTTTAAAAGACATTTAGATAAGTATATAAATCAGAAATGTTTGGAGCGATATGGGCCAAGCACAGGCAGGTGGGTCTAGTTAAGTTTGAGATTATGTTCGGCGTGGTTGAGTTGGACCGAACGGCCTGTTTCCATGCTGTACAACGCTGTGACTCAGTCTTCCAAATTCTCCCCCAGAAAGAGTACTGGTGGTTGGATCATCACATGTAATTATTCTGAGTTAGACCCCTGACTAATAAGGGAGTCAAAGGTCACATGGAGGGGGAGGGGGCAGGTGGCAACAGGAAAGTGGAGATAAGGCCATAATCGGATTAGCCACCATCTTAATGAATGCAGAGCAGCCTTGAGGAGCCCAATGGCCTGTTTCTTATCAGGATGACAGCATCTCCAACAGTGCTGCATTCCCTTGGTACTGCATTGGAGTAGTAGTCTAGATAAGAACATAAGAACGTAAGAAATAGGAGTAGGAGTAGACCATCCTGGTCCATCGAGCCTGCTCCAGCAATCAGTAGGATCATGGCTGATCCTTTCATGGACTCAGCTTCACTTACTCACCCGCTCACCATAACCTTTAATTCCCTTAGCTGTTCAAAAACCTATCTATCTTTGCTTTTAAAAACATTCAATAAGGTAGCCCTAACTGCTTCACTGGGAAGGGAATTCCACAGAGTCACAACCCTTTGGGTGAAGAAGTTCCTCCTCAACTCAGTCCAAAACCTGTTCCCCCCTTATTTTGAGGCTATGCCTTCTCTTCTAGTTTCACCTGCCAGTGGAAACAGCCTCTCTGCTTCTTTTTTATCTATTCACTTCATGATTTTATATCTTTCTATAAGATTGTGTGCCCCTCCCCCCTCATTTAATCCCAGTCTCCTCAATCTTGCCTCACAAGCCAACCCTCTCAACTCCGGAATCCACCTGCTGAACCCCCACTGCAGCCCTTCCAGCGCCCAATGTTTATGACCGAGCCTCTAGCGAAATTTGAACGATGGTCACTATCTCAGACACACTGTCCCAGTAAATGCATGAGTCTGGCTTCAAGTCCCATCTGCTCCAGAGGCATGTAATAACATCTCAGAACAGGTGGATTCGAAAATATCTACAAAAGTACCCGAGGCTCAGCAAAGACTGGATCTGCAGACATTGTAGGAACCATTGGCTTGTAGGGCAGAAATCATGGACCACAGAATGAGACCATTTGGCCCATCATATCTATGTCTGATCAGTGGTAAAGACACCAATTAGTTACATTCTTCTGTTCAAGTCAATTTTCCAGACTTGGCAAGCACCAACTATAGATCATTTAAATCAGCACGTTCAGAAATGTTATTAGACGCCTCTAGAGCAGGTGAGACTTGAATCCCAGCCTCCTGGCTCAGAGATAGAGACACGACCACTTCACCACAAGAACACCCTCTCTTGTTTCTGATCTTTGTCCAGAGCCCTTCTTTAAACTTCTAAGCAAAATCACCAAGGGGATTGTTTTAAATAGTCAGGAAAGATTCTGAAAATGCAAATGTTCTGGAGTGGGTTTTGTATCACAAAGTGTTTTGACAATGCTAGTGGCCTCCTGTTGTTTGGTTTGAAAAATGCATGCACTGGGAGACGTCTCTACTATTATTTGGATCATTGCAGTAACTAATGCAATCATTTTCCACAGTGTTATCATCCTTGTCACTGTCATCAATCTTAGCTCACAGTGTATTGGTACAAGACTTTGTTATTACTCTGCAAATCCATTCTGTTTGCAGGCTCGTGGGAGCATAAATTTATTAAAAGCAAGACTGCCATGCTCCAGTTCCACACTGGCAAAGCAGCAGTGGTGAAGGTGCCAATGATGTATGTCAGAGCAACTATGATGGCCACCACAGATCATACCCATGAGTGTGACGTTATCAGCCTCCCGTACAGTGCGAACGCCAGCATGCTGCTTGTAATCCCTTATAAAACATTCGGCCTGAGGCACATTGAGAGAGAACTCAGCTGGGAAATGGTTGACAACTGGATCAAGGAGATGACCAACAGGTAGAGTGGCAGCATTAACAATTGCATTTGAACTGTGCTCTTTCTTAACTCATAGGATTATAGATTCCCTACAGTGTGGAAGCAGGCCATTTAGCCCATTGAGTCTGCACCAACCCTCCAAAGACCAGCCCACCCAGACCCCACCGCCTCACTCTATCCCTGTAATCCTCCATCTCCCAAGGCTAACGCACCTAATGTAGACATCCCTGGACACCATGGGCAATTTAGCAAGGCCAATCCACCTAGCCTGCGCATCTTTGGACTGTGGGAGGAAATCAGAGCACCCGGAGGAAACCCACGCAGACACAGGGAGAATGTGCAAACTCCACACAGACAGTCGGTCGAGGGTGGAATTGAACCCGGGTCCCTGGCGAAATGATCCCATCAATTGACTCTTACCCGAAATGATCTAGTTAAAGACTGAGAAGATCAGATATTTGTTCATCTGTGTGTTTCTGCACATTTGTATTTCTCAGGTGACCGCAGAAACCACTGCTGACTCTCTCCGGTCAAAATAGCAGTAAAATCCACCCTGGTAACACCCCATTCCTAACCTTTAAAAGGCAGTTTGAACTATTTTGCTGTCCAATCTTCACACACATTATCCTTACAACCTCTCAATGATACTGGAATGTTGGTGCTCTGTTTATAATGAGTTTGCCTTACTGAGAGACAGAAGGACAAGGACAATAGAGGGATGGGGAAAATAGGTTATTAAATGGCTTTGATAATCAAGTTAAAGTACTTGTTTGGGATGTTATGAAAGTGACCTGATGACAGGCCAAGAGTAAAGGAGAACAGTGACTTTAATCAGGAACATTTTGTAACCAATTTTAGTCACTTATCTGAAAATGCACTCCTTTGTCATTAGTGTTTTTCATTCCTCATACGTCTTGTCTCTTCTGCCAATATGAATATTCCTCTTCAGTTATCACATTGTATCTATCTCTTCAGGGAACTCAGTTGATGCCCCACCGAACCAAATCAATCATTGTGTTTAGTTGAAATGCAGGCATTTGGCATTATTGAAAGATATGAGAGGGGAAATAGAGAGCAGCTATTTTACCTGGTGGAGGAACCCAGATCATAGAGAGAGAACCTCAAAGTCAGATCTAGCAGAACCTTAAAATCCTCACTCAGGGGTGATACCAGGAAGCATTTCTCCACACAAAGTGTAATGGAAAAGCTTGAACCATGGCACCCCTGCCAAAAAACTGCTGAGGCCAGTCTTAATTTCAAAATTAGAATCATGCAGTCACTACAGTGCAGAAAGAGGCCATTCAGCCCATCAGCTATGTACCAATCCACCAAAAGCATTCCACCCATACCCACAAACCCACATTTCCCATGGCTAATCTACCTACACTGCACAGCCCTGGACACTATGGGCAATCTAGCATGGCCAAATACCTAACCTGCACATCTTTGGACTGTGGGAGGAAACTGGAGCACCCGAAGGAAACCCGTGCAGACACAGAGAGAACGTGCAAACAGACAGTCACCCAAGGTTTGGAATTGAACCTCGGCACTTCGAGGCAGCAGTGCTAACCACAGAGCTACCGTGTTGCCAATCATTTGGTTTTTTGTTTGGCAAGGGATCTATTTATTAAGCATGATGGATAGCTGAAACGAAGATTCAGAGACAATCTAACCGAATGGCAGAGCAAACCTGAGGGAGTATATAGTCTGCTCCTGTTCCTTTGCTCCTGGATTTCACTGTTATTGCTTAGTCCAACCAAATGCCCTTGGATGTGGGAGAGAAATCCTATCCTTTTCAATATTGAAGGACTGCACAAGGAGTTCACACACGTATGGATCTGGGCTAAATCCAGGAGTGATTTCTGCTTGGACAATCCTGTCTTTTGATAGTCTGTCTGCACTCAATTACACAAGAGCACAAGATGTGGATCTTAGGCTCAATCTTTTTTAGATGGTGAGTTATGAGGTGCAGAATTTACTTCTAAAGTTAGTGGCTGGGGCAGAAGTAAAACTGGCTCACATCACAAGTTTGGATCTGGCACTGAAAGGGAAAGGCGTTGAAGGGACACAGGAACAGGGCGAATAGAATCATTTGCAGCTAGCCAGGATAAATGGACTGATTGGGACAAAAGGTCTGTTTCCATAATGTCATGATGATGAATTCCTACAAGGCACCACCTCCAGGAGAGGATGTGAAAAAAGTGACACAGAGTTAAAGAATTCCACATTAGCTGACTGCTCATATGCAAGGTAATTTGCAGCTGGTCCCTGCGGGGGGATCAATAAAAAATTTATAATTTTAGCATTTAAAATTTAGTGTAGTCAATTGAAATTTAAAACCCAATTAACATTTACAGCCTACTTTAAAATAGTACATATAGGACTCAACCTAATAGGATAACATCAAGACGATATCTGATTAAACATTTTTTATAAAAAACGGATGAGCGATAGAGAGATAATTCATCTTATGTTTACAGGCAATTTTACTCTTTACTTCATTTCCCTGAACTATTAAAAAAAACACTTTGGTTATTAAAATCAGCCTTGTGATTGGCTGGCCAAGTCATTCCAAGGTCTCCCCTCCTCCAAGACAGCAACTGATGTGAAGTACAAAGAAAGAACTACGTTTATATAGTGCCTGTCTCGATCTGGGGATGCCTAAAATGCTTCACAACTGATCAGATTGGGCTTCACCATCTACCATAGATGCAGTGATGGGGTTTTAACCACAACAAAATAATTATTCCTGACAATGTGATACTTACGTTAGCTCCTGTGACACAAGTATTAGATATGAGTAACGTGGTATTGAAAGACTCAGCAGACATCTAATACAGCTGCTGGCATTCACACATATTACAATGTATAGATAGGCAATATCATTATCATTTCAGTGGCTGGGCTAATGCAAAGCAATTTGGTATTTGCATGTCATGTTCCAAGTGACCTCAGTAAGTTGGAGACTGAGACTTTAACACCGTCAGGTCACATGACATGAGATAGTGACAATAACATGAGCATGGCTGTTAAAGGTACATTATAGACCGGCTGTGAGATCAAACACAGCAACTACCAATAAACCATAGTCACTGTTGTTATGTAGGAAAATAGGGGGTTTCACCAAAAGCAAGTTAAATGATAGGATGATTTAATTTTGTGGGATGTATGTTGACCTCTGAAGAACTCCTCAAAGACCAGACCTTGGTTGAATGTCTCATTTAAATGTTGGCGCTTTAACTGATGTACAACACTTCTTCAATACTGCACTGAGAAATTAGTCTAGATTATGTGCTCTGGTCCTGGTCTGGGACTTGACCTTTCCGATTCAGTGGCTGGGGTACAATTACCAAACCAATCTGACACTTAATCCCGCGAGGCCTCTGACACCCATCTCAAGTAGCTATTCATTACCTGTGGTATAAGGTCGTGAATTAGTTGTAGTGTAATTAAACCTTGCACCTTCCGCCCATGCAAGGTTAGTGCCTGATCATGCAATGAAGATGAGTGGGAGTCACAGATTTAATCCTTAGGAACCTTTCATGATGTTCTGTCCCTCTTCGAGACAGCTTTCATTGGTTTGCAGAAGTTTGCAACATAAAGAATAGGTGATGGAGGAGTCGTGCCAAGTTGACTATTTTGTGAAGATCTTGTAATCTGTTACCTGAACCAGATAGACCCACAAAGCCCTGGTCACAGCTGATAATTTACCAGCCAGCCTGGCTCACTAATGGATTTGGGAATGACAGAGCGGGTACTGGGAGTTGGAATGTTTCCCATTCCTCTCGAGATACCAATTCATCAGTTGATGGAGTGGCCCAACTTGCCGTTGGGAAACTCACCCTGTCCTTATTTTATAGATTCATAGAGTTAGACAGCACAGAAACAGACCTGTCGGTCCAACTTGTCAATGCCGACCAGATTTCTCAAACTAAACTAGTCCCAATTTCCTGCCTATGGCCCATATCCCCCTAAACCTTTCCTATCCATGTCCCTGTCCAAATGTCTTTTAAATGGTGTAACTGTACCTGCATTTACCACTTTCTCTTTATCTTGAAATATTCCAATAGCATCCTCAGAAACACTTAGGATTCTTTTAACCAAACTCTTAGGACTGAGGTCAGTGATGTGTGTCTTAATTATGAGAAAATGTACACCAGAATCAGTCATTTTACATGCGTTGATTTTGCAGCAGCTTTGTTTGCAGATGCTTCCTCAAGTTAATGGGTTTTCATTTGCATTAGACACGCTGATGATCAAAAAGTAAATTCTCCTTTTCAAGTGCATTCAACAGAAAGAATAATTGTTCCCCAGGGACTCTTGCGGTCCAAGCCTTTAGCCAGGCACAATACAGGTGCTGAGATTGCCCTGGGGAGATGGAGCTTCAGACTTCGCATTTTTTTCTGGTGGAAAGTTGTCCACTTTTCCTTGATCACACAACTGGGATGGACTTTCAACATTCCTGGTCCCATAGCTATGAATCTATACCTAAACCTTCTGTACAGCCCAAGATTCCACTATGTTCAACATTCGCATGGAAAAATCAGTCATTTATTGCTATGATTCACATATTAACCAGGCGCAATACTTTTAGAATGCAGTTCAGTACAGAAAGTGCTAGAGGAATTCAGCAGAGAAACAGAGTTAACCTTTTGAGTCAAATATGACATTTTCTATTTTTATTTCAAATCTCCAGCAGTATTTTGTTTTGCATTTCTTATATAGAGTCAGAGTTGTGCAGCATGGAAACAGACCCTTTGGTCCAACTAGTCCATGCTGCCAGATATCCTAAATTAATCTAGTCCCATTTGCCAGCATTTGGCTCATATCCCTCTAAACCCTCCCTATTCATATACCCATCCAGATGCCTTTTAAATGCTGTAATTGTACCAGCCTCCACTACTTCCTCTGGCAGTTCATTCCATACACACACCACCCTCTATTTGAAAATGTTGCCACTTAGATCCCTTTCCCCTCTTACCTTAAACCTATGCCCCCACCGTGGGAAAAAGACCTTGGCT